GGTAAAACTTTTGGGGGATAATACGGGAGAAGAAGGAGTACTAAAAGATTGTTTTCCTTGATTTTTATTATGAATTGGTATTAATAAAGGTGTAGTAGGTCTACTTTTAGAAGGATGATGAAGATCATTTTGAGAAGAGGAATTTATGGAGGAAAGATGCGTTTCAGAAAAAGAAGCACCAATATTTGATTGACGAACATTTAAATTTTGAAAACTTTCTTCAGAGTAAGAAGGAATTTTTGGAGAGTAAAGAGGGGAAGGAGTAGGGGAAGGAATAAGTTTTGGAGATAGAGCAGGTGAAGGAATAACTTTTGGAGATAGAGCAGGTGAAGGAATAACTTTTGGAGATAGAGCAGACGAAGAAATAATATTTGGAGATTGAGCAGGAGAAGGAGATAAAAGTGGAGAAGGAATAATTTTTGGAGAAGGAGAAGGAGAAGAAGTATTTGGAGAGGTAAGTTGTGATGGGTCTTTAGAAAGTCTCTTCCGACTTTTTAGAGGTAAACCAGTAGGTTTTTTTCTAGTAAGTCTAGTAGTAGGACCTAAGGGTTCTTTCTTTTGATCAGTATCTGTATTAGAATTTTGAATGTGACTATTTTTATCAGCATTGACCAAAATGGGTAAACTATTGTTTAACGGAGTGTTAGTGGTTTCATCTGCAGGCGGAACATCTCCCCTCGAAATAAGACCACTAAAGTCTTGAAACTCTAATAAAGTATTTCTAAATCCTTCAGTTGATCGACCATCGACAGGGTTTATACCGTTAGTATGTTGAATGCTAGTATTATTAGTAGAATTTATTGCTTGAATGTTTGGTTGTTGATGAATACTCATAGGTCTCGGAGGAACAGCAGGAGGGTCATTTGGCCATAGATTGAAATCTAAGTTAGTTGAACTAAAGAGGTTATCACTAAAAGTTGTAAATAAATTTTGATTATTGTTAGAATCCGAACTAAATGTAGGATATATATTTTGATTATCGGAATTTGAACTAAATGTGGGAAACATATTTTGGTTGTTGGAATCCAAACTACTAAAAGTTGGAAATAGATTTTGATTATTTGAATCCGAAGGTTGTTGAAAATAAGGCCAAGAAGTATTAGAACTTCTAGTAGAGTACATGAAATCAGTTGGACCGGAATGACTTTCGTTAGTTTGGTGAGCACTATAAACTTGCTCAGACATCTTTAGTAAATTTAATAAATTTAATTAAATTTCCTTAACTAAGCATTAAAAATTATTTGATTTTAATTTAAATAATTTTGGTAAAAAATAACTAAAAAAATAAATAAAAGGCGCTTACAGAGGGTAAGATTACTGTAAAGAGATATATTGTCCGTAAATGCCAGTTTTTTTTTTATTTTTAACCAAAGCGAAAAAAAGATAAGAAAAAGAAAGAAAAAAGAACTTCTCATAAGAAAAAAAAAAACGCTAAATCTAGTTTTTTGAAAATATATGCTATATACTTTTACCCACTGATGTTGTACAATTAAAATTTAAATAACTATACATATTTATTTATCATCGTTATTAATTTATTGTTTATTCATAGAACAGTTTTGATCTAATTTTCTATTTAAAGGTAATCACATGATATGTGATTTATTTTTATACCAAACTGAAGGTCCGGACCCCTATGTAAAAAATAAAAGCATGTAACATACGTACGTACGTACTTATGTACTTATTATATAAACGTTCTAACCTATACAATATCTACATAATAGATTGAACCGAAAAATTTTTTAAAGGGTGCATATAAATTCACTTTTTACGGTAATAATAATGTAAATGATGTTAGTACGTATTTACTTGATAATTTCAAGAAAGAATGGATAATCTTGGAATTGGTGAAACCAAACGATTATATATATTTCTGTATTTGTTTGTGTGGAATGATATAGTCTACGTACGTATGTATGCACCGCACGAAGTAAAGACCTTCGATGTTACGATAGATTACTCAATTTTTAAGACATTTCTATTTTTGTGTTATCTTGAAGGTCATTAACAAATGATTTTTATTTGTATATGCTGACACATAAAGTTGTACAATCATTACTCTAGCCAGGGCAACGTAATAATTTACTTCTAATCGGGATTCTAAGCTGAAACTCCGCAAACAATGACTGCACATTTAAACGGAATTCTGGGATTCTAATTGTTAAAATTGTGTCAATGCTAGCGTAAAAAAATGCTTTTTTTCACAGTTCAATTCGAGTAACGTGTCCTAAAAACTTTTTTTTTTTTCTTTTGGCCCATATGATGATGCATCACAACATTATAGAAAGTATGTAAAGTATGTAAGGTATTTAAAGTACGTAAAGTATGTAAGATATTTAAGGTATGTAAGGTATGTAGTGTTCGACTTTGGAACGCCTATTTTGATTTGTATCCTTTTTTGGTTCTATTCAATATACATAATTTCTTCTCACTAACAATCCAAGAACTGCTAAAAATGAGGTTAACATAATGACAAGTTCTTTTTTTTTGTTGCAAGGCTATATATTTTAATGTGGATACCCATATTAGGTTTGTGATAGGAGGAATGCTGTTACATTTTGGTATGGCATTTAAAAAAGTTTAATTCAGTAAAAATGTATGAATAATTTCGCGCATGATGCACATGACACGAATAATACGCATATACGCATATACGCATATACGCATGATACGCATGATACGCATGATACGCATGATACGCATGATACGCATGATACGCATGATACGCCTGATACCGGAAGTTAACAAACATTTAAATGTTATAACAGCCTATTAAGTATTACCGTATCAACCACTTATACGTATTAACACTGAACCAGTCAATAATTTACGTACGTACGTACGTACGCACGTCCCCTGACTAATGAACCAATGGCCCCCAATCTGACCTAACTAAAATCTACACACTTGTAATGTTGGGAGAAAAAAGATCTTTCGAATATGCGCGATTATACGCAGTTGTTTAGATTTTATTCGTTCATTTTAATTTTACCTTGATTACACTAAAAAATTAATATTATTTGTTATGGTGGCTTTGGTTTTTTATACAACTATTTGCCAAGGACAAATGTACTGTTTGTTCTTTCTAGAAATCACTTTTATAATTCAGTAGTACGTAGTAGTTTGAAACAACATATCATTATAAACTCGAAAATTTTGAATGTATCATCAATGCCAAGATACGTAACCAAATACGTACGTAGCCAATATACGTAGTCAATATACGTAGTCAATATACGTGCCAAGATACGTAGTCAATACTTTCGTCATGCATCTACGTAGCAGTACGTATACGTATATGCTTAATAGAAATTTTAAAGCATACTTAATATATGCAATTAAACTGTACGCATTTAAACATCATCGACTGTTTAAGTGCTACGTACGTACGTACGTATGTACATACTTCTCTTAAAAACTATATTTGATATGTATTTTATTACATTTAATACTATTCAAGTATTTTAATAGGTTAACAAGTTTCCGACTAGTTATTGAAATAGATTAGTGTTACGTAGTAGCACAACCAAGCTCATTAGATTATCTAATCAATTTTTAATTCTCGGAATTTTAGTGACGCCACTGACTCGTTTCATCCAAAAAAATATCAAAGATAAGAGGTTTTGTACTATTTTTGCTGTTGTGCACTGTTTCATTAGTCAAATAATGTGATTTGATAATACGTATCAGATATACAGTATTTTTTTTCGTAATGGACTAACGCTAATACGTATACTCTCTTCATATTACTGTATTACACCCTACCCAATATATCCCCGCCACACGATATACCTTGGGTAAGGACGATGATTTACTGCGATTACAGAAAACAGCAGGTTTTTTCTTAAAAACAGCTAACCACAGAAATTAACCCTGGTTATCACGGGATTCCACAGAATTTAAAATAATGGTACAGAATTTCAAAATAGAAATTTTTTCACTGTCATAGCCCAAATAGAGGGGACGTCTAAAGCCTGGCACCTTCCGGTTTTCCGATTTTTAATTAATATTAGGGTTAGAGTTAGACCGGTTTGGATAGCCATTTTTTTGTTGTTGTCGGGTTGTTCGGAATAATCCGGGACGTATGTCGGGTAATTCCGTAAGGCGCCAAGCTTTAGACAACCCAAATAGAGTATGTACATACTTACGTATTATTGTTATTGAAGAAATAAATCTTCATAATTATTGGATGGGAATGCAATCAACTTTAAGTTCCAGTTTCCACGTAGCTGTATTGTAGAATGCAACTTTTTCATGTACAATAATCTTTTAAATAGTAATCATCAAAGTCTTTCGCTTGATTCTTTAAAGCAATTAAGCATATTATATTTTAATAGCAATTAATTTTTTTTTTTTTTGTTATTAAAAAGATTTTAAATAAAATATTTTATAATTTTAGCCACATTAAATCACAGAATCAACACTAAATTACCACAGAATTACGCAAAAATTAACTTCATTATCACAGAATTTAGCAGAATACATTAAAAAAAAAACGGCACATGACATCACAGAATTTTTTCTTAACCACATACAGAAATTGGTCTTAACCAAAACAGAAAATCATCGGCCCTGACCTGGAATTTAAATTAGAGTTGGTACTCGAAACGAAACCTACCCGAAACTAGTTTCGGATTTTTTTAAAAAAACCGAAACCCCGAAACTATAATCCGAAACCTCAAACTATAATCCGAAACTTTAAAAATATAATATATTGAAATTTATTTCGACAGTTCTACTTCCCGACAACTTTATTTATTTCCCTAACACATATATACCTTTATACTATATGAGTGTCGCTAGAAAATTTAAATATGACTTATACATATTACAACTGTTTTCATAAATCCTGAGACGTCTGATAAAAAGTTAGCTGAATGATTTTTCGGCAAATCCGGTTTATGTTCTTGATTTTGGATAAATATTTTATATTACATACTTGTATTCAGAGACATGGAATATTTTCAAATTACAATTTTTGAAATAATTTGAGATTTATTGGCTATAATAATTCCATTTTATTCTATTTTATTCTTAACGGAAGTATTCCTCGTTCTATCATTGTAATGTAGACACATTCAACATTATTAAACTTTCGTTTAAATACTTGTTTAGCATGTTTGGTGTGTTTAGTTTGTGCGAAAGTTTATGAGGAAGGCGGTTTTGTTAACAAATAAATCTTGACAAAAAATAAAAAAAGGCTCCAGATATAAAATAGACTTTTATAATAAATATACCACACG